TTCCCCTTAAGCCTGGTCTCCCGGGTTGGGACTTTGGTTCCACCGCATTTTTACTGCATCTACAATAAACATACCATGAGCATATACTAGCCCAGTAAAATAAATTCAACACTCAAATATAAAATGAAAATACATCTTGAACATCTAGCTCAGTGTTACATCTATCCCCCATCCTTACACTCCTCTCACCATATATTCTAGCCCCATTCCGACGTTCCTAATTCCACTATATTTCTAATTCTGCCCCAACGCCACCCATGCACATATAATCCCACTATCTACACCATCTCCACTCAACGCTCCCACGGTCCACACCCACTCATTGACCCCAATCTCACCATGTACATGTCCCAGCTTTTCAACCACATACACACACACACTTAGTTCCCACCACTCTTCCATCGACTCAACCAAGCCACACTCTGGCCTTTGTTCGGCCACATACACACCCCTAACAGCAATATACAGCCACACACACACCCACACACACACCAGCCCTATTTTGGCCATAATGACGCCGACTGTACACTGCCACACACACACACACACACCAACTGTTTTCAGCCACGCACATTAGCAGTATACTGCCACTCACGTATTCACCGACCAGTGTAACGGCTGATATGAGGATTGTGTTTGCTGTTGGGACAGGGACCCGAGATGCAACGATGGTGTACGTGTGTGGTCTTGGTAGACTAGTGTTTAATGAGAGGTAGTATGGAGGGTGGGGTGGATTTAAAGGGGGGTATGGGTTTGATGGTAGGACTACCGGAATGGTGTCGAGTTTGTAAGGTGTTATGGTTAAAACAAAAGGGATAGAGTGCGGGTCTGTTATGTGGTTGGGAGAACGAGGGGCTAACGGTAAGGGGTTATGTGGGATTAAGAGGGAGTAATGTTGTTATTTAATAGTTATCAAGGGAGAAAAATCAAATGATAGAAACAAGGGAAATAATAGTAAGGAGGGAGGTCATTTAATTGTCATTCATTAGTTTTAGTTCCAATTTTCATCTTATTGAGTTATGCATACTCATTACTCTCACTTCAGATGCTTTGAGGCGGGAACCGAAAATGGAGAGCTTAGCAACGGAGCACCGGGCTTAAGAGTAACAAGATGTTATCAATCTCGATAAGACATAGTAGTACACTTACAGTATTGAAGTAATGTTATAACTTCTACATGTATGGTGATAGTTAAATAGTTTATTTAATTATAAAATTATTCATTGTACGAGAATTGATTTCTTTTTAAACTAATGAATATATATAATTTGGTTGAATAATTATAAATATCTTGTTTAGAGTGTAAGAATGAATAGTCTATAATCCTATAACAAAAAGTGTTTAGGGGTTTCACGGACTCTCTTTAAGTATTACAATTTATATATATAAACTCCCACGATAAATTAAAATCTAACATATGAGAATTCTAAGTTACCATAAAAAGTTGGTTGTAACATTGTGGGATTATAAAAAGTTGATTTGTTGGCTTTGCATTCATCACGTGGGTTTTATTTTTTAGTAATTCTTTTTTCTTCATTTCTTTTAAGAAATACATATATTATATATATATATAAAAGCACAAGAGAATCTTCTTCTCTCTTTCTCACATCCCTTTCTTTAATAATGCATCTTCTTTGAATATTATCCTTCTCCCCCTCCTTTTCTCACACGTTTTTTATGTCCCATCAAATCATTTCTCTTTTCTACTATCCAATTATATATTATTTACATAATATATTATTACAAACATTTCTTCACAAACCAAAATATTTATTTTATTAAAAATCATTATAATTTATCCTAACAAAATTTAATTACACAAATGCACGAATTAAGTAAACAACAAATTTATTAAATCAAAAATTAATTTAATTTATGTAAAATATTTATTTTGTCGAAATCAAAATAACCCGTTTTGAAAAAAATCTAATTTAATTTTTACGATGACCCCAATAATTATTAATTACATAAATTATGATCATGTAAAATAATTAATTATTGTTAACTTATAATATATTTATAAAATAATAAATTTTATGATTTAATTGGTGTTAATATTCTTACAATATTAGAGCAACCAAATTTAATATAATTTTATTATGAAATCAAAATTTAGCCTTTGTTATTTTAAATAATTTATTTAAAATTATGTAAATATCAATAAATATATTAAATATTTCGTAATAATTATATATATTAAAACTTGAAATAACTTCAAAAAAGAGAAAATAAAACTAAGAATATTTCAAAGTCAGCAGGATCCTATGTATGTTTCTTTAATTATAAGCTTACAGCCAACGACGTCGTTTGTCGTTTTTTTTTTCAATGCTTCGGTTGATAACAGCGAACCCTGTCTTCCCAACCAACCACTGCCTCAGCTACCACAACTATTAATAATTTATTTTACTAATTTTTATTTTAAAAATAGAGAATTCATTTGACTTTGACGTAAAATATATTATATAATGTATAATATTTAATTTAATAAAATTTATAGTAATTAAATTTTATATAATAGATAAATTTTTTTATTTATTTAAATAAAAAAGAGACTAATTTTGTTAAAAAAATCATTTAAATAATTAATTTAAGTGTTGATAAATTCACTAAAAATGTTATAAAAATAATTAATTTATATAAATAAAATTATTTTACCGAATAATCACGTCAAAAACAAATTACTAATAATCCCTAACGGAATAGACATCTCAGTGCGGCAACGACTCACCCGTACGGCGTCGTACCGGATTGTTGCCATACGATATTTCCAAATTTATCGAAGGGGCGAAAAGGTAAATACAAGTAATCACTGGGGGGGGGGGGAATTGCATTAACGAATAATCATAAGGGCATAAATGCAATACGACGAATCTTTTCCCAACATTTTCAAGAATCAGTAGAGGCTGAATCATATGAAACGGAGCGTTTAATCCCAAGCCGAGTGATTAACAATAAATTTTGTATAAATTATTAAATTAGTTTTTAAAATTTTATATTTATTAAAATTTAATTTTTAATATTTTTTATTTACTTTAAGTATTCAATTTTCTATATATATTTTTAGAAAAATTGAAACTATTAAATATAATATTCAAAATTCAGTCTTTTAAATTATTTTTTTAAATAATTTTATGCAATTTTAAAATAAATAAAAAACATTGAGATTAAATTGTTAAAAAAAATAAAAAATTAAATTATAACGAATATCAAATTTCAGATATTAATTTTTTAATAACGTTTTTTTTTGTGAATTTCAGACGAATTAATTTATTTTTTTTAATTTTAAAAAATTATATTCGATAATATTATTTTATTTTAAAATTAATTTTGAATATATAGATTTAATAAGAGTATATATTTGACTTTTCAATGCACGTTTGTTTTTTTTTTTTTTTTCAATTTCTTTTTGTGGTTACAACTTAGTGAGTAATAAATGCATATAATTTAGAAAATGCACATATTTATTTCAATTTTCCGAGAAGGGAAGAATTTTCTAGTCTACCAAACAGGCTGCTCCCTACTGTACAGTTTCTACTGTAAGAGACACGAGCAGAATAAAATAAGAAATAAAAGCTCTTCTGTTCGCACTTTCAGCTGTCTCTCTCTTTTCCTTTCTCTGATATTCCCTCATCACTGGCTACTCAAATCCAACATTGATTTCGAATCCCCACAGTCCCGTTTCACATTATCAGCTGCGTAATCCGTCTTCCCCTGCTACCCATCTTTTCTCTCTTCATTTTGGCTAAAAGGGCACTCTGAAAGTAACTTTTTTGAAAAAAGGTATCGTGTTCTTGTTTTCTTTTTTCCTTCTGGTTTTTCTGTTTGTTTCCCGGGAAAATGAAGAATCAAATTACCTCATGGTTAAATCCGGAGATTTTCTCTCTCAAAATGGGAACTTGCTCAGTTCATATCTCAGCTGGTCGGTGACTGCAGACGGTTCATACAGCATTATAAGCCGTTATTCCGAGTCCACTTTTTGAAGCCTGAAAATGATAGTAGTGCCCTGAAATAGAATGCATACGCCATTGGCCTAATCTTGGGTCCCATCTGCGACTAAAAGCTTTGATTTCAATACCCATTGTTTTGTATCCCATAAAAAAATTCCCAGCTTCCTTTTTCTTTCTCTTCCTTTACAGATCATTCAGCTCGGTAGGTCACTGAATCTTAATCTTCATTTGATTAATCCATTTACTTGCTATTTTATTCATCAATCACTCCTTAATCGTTGTGGGATGGTCAAGTTTTTTATGCTCAGAGGTTGAATTTGTTTATGGGCCCAGAGCTGAGCTACTAAACATTTTTTTTTCCAGTCAAGGTTGTGTTCTATGCCGGCTACTGGCATTCTGGGTTTGACTCTTTTTCTTTTCTCAGGTACCAAAGTCTAATAATTTACTCCCTTTTCAATTTCTACTACCTTGAAACTTGGACAGTTTTGGTCTATGCTTATTTTAACTAATAGAACACTGAAATGAGGTTTATTATCTTTGATTTCCCTCCCAAATATCTCTGGTTTTTAAAGTAATAATCTTGAGTAGTTACTGTTCTTTCCTTGGGTGCATTTTCTTTGGTAAGCTTGAAAATTGTATCACACGTCCTGCCTTTTCTCCATTGTTGGTTGTCTGGTAACTTTCTCAAATGTGTTCATTTGATCTCTTTAGTAGTGCTCAGATGATATAAGAGGTTTTTGGTCTGGTCTACTGTTTTCGTCTTTGTCCCTCTTCATCTTTAACAAGTTTCAACTATGCTTCAGGAGGCAAGGTATTTCCCTAATTCACCTATATTTCTATGTAGCTTTCTTGGGTTCTTTCTGTTTCAAGCTGTGGTCTCTCAGATTCCTTTAGGTTCAAAACTTTCTGTAGTTGACAATAACTTGTGGGTCTCCTCCCATGGTGATTTTGCACTAGGGTTCTATAACCTTTCTGATTTTCCTAACCGGTTTAGCGTTGGGATTCGTTTTAATTCCAAATCGATACCTGTTAATCAACGAACTATTGTTTGGGTTGCTGGAGCTGATGTTACTGTCAGCAACAATTCATATTTCATGCTTAAGGAAAATGGGGAACTGGTTTTGGTTGATTCCTCGTTGGGAATCACTGTATGGACTAGTAACACAAGCCAAGTATCTGTAGCTTCTGCTCTTCTTGGTGATGATGGTAATCTTGTTCTGATAAACGAGAAAAAAGATGTCGTATGGCAGAGTTTCAATACTCCATCTGATACTCTTCTTCCTGGCCAGACTTTCTCTGCCTTCAAAACACTTAGACCTCCAAGCAAGAATTCTGTGTCAAATTACTATAGTCTATACATGGATGTGATGGGTCAGCTGCAGTTAAGATGGGAAAGTAGTATAATTTTCTGGACAAGTCAAAGCCCTGCTGGTTCAAATCTCAGTGCTGTTCTTGCCTCTGATGGGAGGTTGCAACTTTTGGATCAAAGTTCGGAACCTGTTTGGTCTGTGTTTGGGGAAGATCACAATGACATTGTGAAATTTCGTTTCCTTAGGATAGATTTTGATGGTAATCTGCGAATATACTCATGGAGAGAAGATTCACAGTCATGGAAATCTGTCTGGCAAGCTGTTGAGAATCAGTGTGATGTTTTTGCAACTTGTGATCAGCGTGGTATATGCACATTCAATTCATCTGGGTCACCTGTGTGTCAATGCCCGTTTAACTCTCATTTGGAATCTAATCCGAAATGTTTGGCTCCATATTATCAGCATTGTAGTTCTGGTTCCGCCATGCTTGAACACAGGCACATGGTCTTATATGGAATTTACCCATCAAACGATTCAATCTTCCAAACTAGTTTAGAGAAATGTAAAGAGATGTGCCGGGAAAACCCAAGTTGCACTGCAGTGACCTTCATGAATGATGGAAGTGCACAATGTCGAATGAAGTTAACCCGATTTATTAGTGGTTATTCTTATCCCCGTATGAGTTCAATATCTTTTGTCAAGACATGTTTGGACCCAAAAGCTGTTGATCCCATTGTTCCGAAAAACTCCTCTTTGAGCAGCCGGTCTTATGAGCTCTGTGTTTCTTGCACTCTTGGAGCAGTGTTAGGAACATTTGTCATATTTGGAGCACTTCAGTTTGTCATTGGTTTTCGGATATTCAAAAGAAGAGAAGCA